ATGAGCGTTAAGTTAGGCTTTTCACTTATAAGCCCTGGACAATCATATCATTATGATTTAAGAGCTTTCTGTCCTCAGCTTTCTGCTGCTTCAGTTCTGGAGTCATCCCTCCAGTAGCAGAGGTTGCAGAATGGACTGTGTACCTGCTGATTAGCTGTCATGACTCACAACTCAGGGCAGTAACGTAAACAGAAATCAGTGGCAGGTGAAGTTCTGAGTTCTGAGCAACCATGGCCGAGAAACAAAAAGTCCTGCCTCTTCATTTATCTATTTGGGATAACTGTCATCAGAGGAGTGTGGAATAAAGCCTAGGGAAATAAACTCTTCAATTGCCCTAGTCCTCTCTTCTCTCTAAACACTGGGAGAATCCATTTGCCAAGAGAAGGTATTTCTCCAAAAGCACTGGGTAGCAAAGAAACAGTTTGCCTTTGGTAAGTAGATAGTTTCTTGGATTGGCAGCACTATCTTACAAACAGGAGGTGGGTAAGTGGTTGGTTGTTGAAAATGAAGAGTTTGTTTTTCCTGAAATGCTGTTAATCATTGCTGACTTCTTAGCTAGTTTAGGCTATGGACAGTAGGTCTCCAAAAACTGCGGGTATTAAATTACCATTGACGATTTTCAGTTTGATGCCCTGGCTTTAGATAGAAGGTAAGGTGTGACCCCAAGTTAGCGGATAGCTGAATATCCTGAGCCATGAGCAGTGCATAATAATCTGCACGGGTCATTGGAAAATAATTACATTAGTTAATGAATACTAAGGTTAATTAATTACCAATTAATTGCCATAGGTTATAGATAGCTAGTTGCCCATAGCAGCAGTGAATCAGTTACTCGGGGGAAAGAGATACATTACAGAAAGGGCTGTTAGCTACATTGGTTATAGGCACCTGATGATTTCTTTATGAAAAGAATAGGCCTTAATAGAAGCAAAGCAATAGCAAAGCCAGCTGTGAAAGCTCTTACAATGCTAGTGTACCATTCAAACATGTGTGCACCACTACTGAATTCTGACTTACCAGGAACCATTCCTGCAAGAGTTGAGGTTGGGTAGCTGCCTTGTCCAGTTGGGGGAACATGGGGTGGGTAGCCAGGCAAGGTGGTGCTTGCCATATCACGACCTGGAAAAGGAAAGAATCAGGACAGGTGATCAATAGGGATAAGATCTTTCAATATTGATTTGATATCACCTTTTGTCCCACTGTCATATGACTAGCAGCTTGATAGGCAAGTGCTGTGCAGCCTTCTCTTACATAAGTGCTGTCCATCCACTGAAAATTTTGAGGGAAGACTGTGGTGCTTTTGATCTCACACTGTAAGGATGGATGTTAAAACTTAGCTTTGTGAGGCTCAAAATAATTTGTTTTGTTTCACTGTAGATTTTGGATCTATTTTAATGAAATCAAAATGGCGCTAAGCTGCACAAAGAATGGCAGCATATTCATTGCCAGAGTATCTGAGGTCCTGTCTATATGCAGTGGATGAAGTTCCAAAACCATGGTGATGTTGCTTTAGGGCATGATCAATGTGCAAGGCATTGGAAAGTGATCCAAGAGTTTTCTGTGCTTGTCTTTCTTCCCACCTCTGCCATTCACATGCTGATGATTTTAGGCAAGTCACTTCACCTCTCTGTGCTTCTTTTTATGCTGCAAACTCTTTGGTGCAAGGGCACACCTTTAGTACATTTGCACAGTGCTTAGCATGAGATCAATACTAGTTGGACTCCTTCCAGGTACTGGTGTAAGATACATATATTAAAAAAAAAATAGGATCATGCAAATTAGTTTGGGTTCCACTTCATTTTTACCACAGGTACAAGTTTTTGTTAGTGATACTTAAAGTCATGATATTTTTTCTCAACCAAAGAAGTAGAGAGGGGTGTGGGTGTGGACTGGGTGGATGATTGTAGTTTATTTTTCATCTCTTAGGAAGTGCAGCTGGAGGCTTCTTGCTTGATGCCAGAGGCATTTCCTCATTTGGACTGGTTAGCCTGAAAATGGGCCAGCCAGAAGGGCATTTTGCTGTTAGTGCTTATTGCATTTAAATGAACTAAAATCATCTCAGAAGCTGCTGGGAGTTTCAAGCCAAAACCAAAACAACAACAAAAAAAAAAGGCTAAATAAATTAAGATAATCTTTCCGCCACAGCTGCTGGGAGATTTACAGCTCAACCTCCAACACTGCCTACTGAGATCTCAGCCTGTTCCAGGCATCCAAAGCCTTTCACATTCCCTAGGTGAACTGTAGCTCACCAGGAAGTTTGTGCCATTTGTTGTTCCTTTCTTAAATTTTATCTTTCCTGTCTGTTCTAACTGGAAGGCCGGAATCTCATTTGCCTTTAGCAGTTACGGGTTAAGTATGGCTCATGAACACCACTAGAGTCACTGGAACTGTGCAGGATATGCCAATGAAAGAAGAATAAGAGTTGGTTTAGCTCTACTAGCGGCAGAATGGTAACTGATAAAGCAGGCCCTGGAACAAGCATGAACCTTGGCTGGGGAATCACAAATAAATAACAGTTACATAGCAAAGCAAAAACTAATCAACATGGAGCATGTTGAGGGGAGGAAGTTTCTCTGGGATGAAGTAGGCTAAACCAGTGAGACTGCTTTCATAGGTGTGGACTAAAGATTACTGAGGTGATTTGCTCAAGAAAAAAAGAAATGCAAGTTCATTCTTTCTCCTGAAGAGGTTCCTGATTGGTGGCTGGTGTTCCTGGCTCACCTCCTCTTAGATAATGGCACAGAACCACCAGACAACGGCTGAGCCATTTTCCAGTCACTCCATAATACTGATAAAAATAAATATATAATGCCCCAGGGATTTATATTCCACACTCTTCTACTCTTTTATCACCATCACTCCTTTAGCGATTTGTAGCTGTGTGTTAAGCTGTATGATTAACACCTACTAGATGTAGTTCTTTTTTTCCCTCACATTTTTTTAAGGCAAGAAAGTTTTATGCTTAAAATTCATGTCCTTTTTGTTTCATATATTGACTAGCCTGAGAAATAACTACAGGTGATGAGTGAGAAAACAGTGTCACTGAAATGTTAGAGAGAACATTATGTAGCAGTAGGCAAAATTAATTCATTTTGACACTTCCATTCAAGTGGGAACGCATACACACTCACTCTGCTATTCGATCTATGCACATACACCCCTGTGCTTTTATGCAGACATGAGTGCACAGAGGCTGATGTTCAAAATTCAGTGTGGAAAATTCATTGGGAAGTGATCATCTGTCAAAATCCCAATCTTGAAAACGAAGATGACAAACAAGTACAGTATCAGCAACATGAGTAGGAGTCCCACAGAGAGACTCTTAAAATGCTGTTACATACAAGCAGGCCCCTTCCATTATCTCCTCTCATTACCAAAAGGTAGACAGGATTATTAAATTCTTGTACTCCAGGGCTATGGCAAGGCTAGCACCTATCCTGCTCATAACATGCTTCTAACTCCTGCCTTCTCCAAGAGCCTTTTGAGTGAGGAACAGCACCTTCATCACTGTGACATTGTTTGAACTTTTGAATACTTTCTCCCATGTCTAATTCTCCATAAGAGTCCTAAGGCAGGTGCCTCTCCCAAAACACAGTGCCTTCTAGGCTAAGGGTGGTCATATATGACGGCATCCCAAGAGAACTATATTCTTGGAGAGAGTCTGTCAGGAGACTCCTTGGCTTAGGAAGGGCACAGAGCCCAGAGGCTCTTATTGGCTGCAGTCAGATTGGACCAAGACAGTGTTATGAACACAAAAGTCTTCTCTACTTATTACTTGCAGGGAGGTTTAGAAATGCAAATCTCACCTGACAAGACAAAGGGAGGATGTTAGGTTAAAGAGAAAAATAATATAGGAACACAAAGGAGGCAGAGGTAAGATGTGTTTCTTGAGCATTAGGAACTGTGGCCTGCACTAAGACTTCATTCTGAAAAAGCCCAAATTACATTATTTTACAGTGGAGTGATAACAGCCTCAGTGGTCACCTAAAATGATACCCACTGTTTCATCCAAGCCACCCTGAGCTTCTGCAGCAATGTTGCTTCAGTGACCTTGCACAGGAGTCTCTCCTAGCACCTACCTGAAACTTCTCCTTCCTCCCCGTCAGCCTGCTGCTCCTAAGTGCTGCCATCTTCTACAACCTATTTCTTCACGTCTGTCCTCCCCTTAAGGGCCACCTACTTCTGGTCTGTATCCCTTTGAGTATAAGACATTACAGTCTCTCACCCACTTTTCCAGGTCTTCACACTCAGACACGATGTCCTGTTTCTTAACTACTTGGTCTGCTGTGTGAAGGCACTAGCTCACATTGACATTCACAAACCAGGTGACTCAAATATTGCTCCCCAACATAGCTATGGCAGTGCTCACCAACTGCCTATGTATTTATCTACCTTAGTAGTTTGTGCAACCCATGCTGAACAACCCTGCTAACAGTCCTAGAGCTGGCTAGGTTATTCAGGCTGCAATCATCTACATTAGGCTAGCACGCAGTACCCTTGCTGGGCCTACAGTACTCAGGGGTATTGTGGCTATTGAAACAACACAGGATTTTGCTGTACGAGTATTTTTATACTAAGCCCCAAACCCATCCAACTGGGACACCCAGTCACTTTGAGGTAGTTACAGCTTCTTTTCCCATTTTATTCTACAAAATGAAGGACAGGCATGAAATCTTTTGATGACTCTCCATGGAGCTGAGAACACATGCTTCATACACAGAACTGGAACATAGTTTCTCTGGTTCCCACTTGCACTCAAAGAGCTTGCAGCTTTCACTGGTCTCCCCGTCAGACGAAACTGAACCCCTTGCCTGCAGCATCCCCACTGAGTTTGTGGCCAAGGCCGGTTACCTGCTATCAGAGGCTGGCTGCTGGACTGCCCAAAGTGGGCACCATGATGAAGGAAGGCACTGTAGCAAGGCGTGGACGCATCATCTGAAAGGGCCATGTGGAAGGGCTGAAGATCAGCCTGCCCAGAGCCGACCGGCGTGGTGGGGGTGAAAGGGGTGAGAGAGGCTCCATGAGGCTCTTGCTTTATACTGAGGGGAGAGGAGAGGTTTTCTGTGGTAGGGTAAGGGATGGACACAGACAGACAAAGGGAACAGGGGGAGGAAAAGGAGGGTGGGGAAGGGAGGAGAGGAAGAACAAAATGGGTAAATGAAAATGGAGTGGTTAAAATCTACAGGGAAATTAATTTAAAAACAAAAATAAAAATAAAAAGGTTAGGAGTAGATCAGAGGAGCCAGTGCTGAGACAACAGCAGTAAACGCACCCAGGGGCTAGGCTCTGACTGCAGGGATGCCTCTGCAGGGCAGCAGGAGATGAGGAGAATGGAGTGCAGTGGCAGATGGGAGGAATGGGATGCAGGAAAAGGAGAAGTGAGGGAGGGAACATGCAGGAGAGGGAGGACAGGAAGAAGCGTAGGGTTCGGAAGGAGAAGAATGCTCTGAAGCTTCTGTGCTCCCTTTCCTGCTGCTTTCTTTCACTGGCCGAGGGCACATGAAGATACTGCACTTACAGTTTGGCCCAGGGAATAATACCACTTTGTCTCTTCAGACCCAAGGTAACCTTCCCCAGGAGAGCAGCATCGTTATGAGTATCTGTTAAACAGGATGCTTGGTGTAATGGCCAAAGCTTCTCAAGCCAAACTCTGTAAAAGCTTTCACAGAAAAGGCGTAGCTGAAGTTTGAGGTGGTTAAAAGAAAAATGGGACTGTGCAATTAATAGGTGCATAGACAGATAGATCAATCAATTGATCTTGTTCACAGTGACACACTTTGGAGCTTTGACCATAAAAGCAGTCAGTACTGACTCTGGTTGTTCCCAGAGTATGGTGTTGCCAGACAGATACCTTAACAGAGAGATATAATGGAGGAGAGGGGATGTGGAGGACTTATAAAAGGTCTCATTTTCATTGTTGTTTGCATTGGACCTTCATTTCTGATGTGCAGATTTACATTAGCACAATAGATACAGCTTTGAAACTGCTCCTAACTTGGCTGCCAAGTAAGAGGTTTGGGAATTGGAAAGCTCTGTGACCTAAAGCATGGGTACTCCAGAACACCCACTGTTCTTGGGTCAGCAGTAATAGAGTCCTGTATTTGAACACCTGAAAGAGAAGTATGGATGATGTGATCAGATCCGATCCAAATCATCTAGCAAACCATCCACCCTCAGGAAAACAAATTAAAGCCAATAAATGAAAGCCATCTCTCTGCCGTGATGGCAAGTGTTGCCAATGGCCTATGAAATAAGTTAGTTCTGGTGGTTTTGATTTATACAGAGAAATATAAATGTGACATATAATTAGGTCATAAATCTGACTTCATTAATGTAGAACTGGTTTAATTAACTCTAGGCAACTTATTGTGAGGCTGCAATGCTCACCTAGACAATAAAGGGCTGGGCTGTTTCTATCTGTGAATGCTGTTTATTCTGAGGCATTTGTTTCCTAAAGGTTTGCTACCTGGCAAAAACGACAGTTTGCCATCTGTGTTCTCCTCCAAGTACCTCTAAGCTGGATGGCCAGCAAAGGTCTCTGATCACTGAGACTCCTTTGCGGCAAAGACATATGTTCATGGTTCAGTTGATTGAGAAGGATCAGTCCCAGCCAAAAGGTGTACAGTTCCTCTTTATTTAGTTTACTTATGTGAAGTCTCTGGTATGCTAGGTGAGGAGTGTCATCTCTTCTCCCTTTTTTGCTATAGGAAGCTCTGTTTGGCAAGGACCTTTTCTGGAGGATATGTGGAATAGCAGCTGGAGTATCTGGTTCTTGTTGCACAGTTAATTAAAAGTCACCAGAGTAGGCAGCACATCAGCGCCCAGGTACTGCTTTTTAGAACTACATACCCTCCTGCAGTCCTACCAGTGAGTCTTCACGTGCCAATGCCAGTCATTGTAGATGGAGAACCCCCTAAAGCTACTTTTCTCCTGCATCCTCTGTCATCACATGGCAAGGAGTGCACAGATTTACCTTCAGGCCAGACAGGCAGAGTCGCCACCAGCGGTCTGAGAGTGCTGAAGCCTTTACCCAAATAATGTTGATAGTAGGTAATTTGGATGAATAGATCTATCTGCAGGCAGAGGGCCAAAAGTTCCCCTGGCTTTTCAGGGGCTGCAAGTGAAGTGACATTTTTCAAAGAAGCCATTTGACAGTCATAGCTAAATAACCTAGGGACACTTTGGTCCTGGGCATTTTTGGGTTCCTTTTTCAGCTCTCCGTGCTGTGCAAAAGAGAGCAGGTGTGACGAGCCGCTGGGGAGGAAAGGGGAGAGAAGTGGATGGACATGGGAAGCGTGGGTGGGCAGAAGCAAGAGGTGCTATGGGCAGAGGTTAATCCTGTTTGCACAGCCCCCAGGCACGTTGGGTTTCTTAGTCCCTCCCCTGCTTTATTTCTCTTTTAAAGCATGGAATTTTCAGCTATAATCCTTCCTAAACCGCAGCATTTTTCAGGCGCTCTGTGTAAGTGAAACCATAATCTCTGGTAAAACAGACCGCTTAAGCTGCTGTAGCATTAGGCCAATCTGATCCAGCCCCTGGATTTCCGCTCTGTCCAGCCACCACAGAGAGGATTTCAGCCTGAAAGACTGTCTAAAGCCCTTGCAATGGGAACAACAGTGCCAGGCCTTGCCTTGCAAAGCTGAGAAGGGTTAAGGGACCAGGAGCTATTTGTCCCGGTGTTGTGAGGCTGTTAAAGCGCCTGTCAGACTCACAGCAGAGATGAGCCCAGCCCTCTCTTGAACACATCAAGGCTTATGAAGAAAAATTCCTCGCACCTTCCAGAGGCAGCAACACTTATTCAGTGCAGGGGGATAAAGAAGTCAAGAGTAACGTGGCAAAGAGACTGGGACACAATAATGCTAAACACTCTTCTCTCTAAGAGCAGTGGAGAGAAGGCGAGGATAAGGTCAGACAGCGAATGATTGCACAACCAAAACTCAGACTTTCATGTGTCTATTTATCTATTTATCTATCTGTCTATCTTTTCCTCTGTGCTCTGCAACTGCACAGACATATCCCATGTATCTTTACTGGTGGATGGCATTTACCAATTTTTACTCCTTTGTTGTCCAACTCTCCCCTGACTAAAAGCACCTGAATTCCATCTCTGATATAACTCATGACACTGCTATGCTGGAATAATTGCCCCAGCAGTGAATTATAGCTCCAAAGTGTGTCAGTGTAGACAAGATCAATTGATTGATCTATCTATCCACCTGTGAATGGCACAGTGACATTTTTCATTTTAACCACCTCAAACTTCAACTGCACCTTTTTTGTTTTCACTTCTGATTTTCTCCATTCTCTAATTCTTTCATATTTGTGATGAAGAACTTGCCCCTTCCTATCCCAAGTCTTTCTAGTGCCAGCAAGCTGTGGAGCAGTGCCATACTGGCTTGTCTGTGTCTTGGGGGGTGTCCCTCAGTAAAGCTGCATCAGGGAGCCCCAAGGTATCTGTCAGTGTCTAATTCCTAATGCTGAATACCGGCCTGTAATCACATGGGGGGTGGAATGAGTTTGCAACCCCCCAACGCAGCAGAAATCTATTCCTGTCCCAGGCTCCTTTCTCCTTCTAAATGGCAAACGACATTCGTATTAATCGACAAAAAAAACACCACCCAGTGTTGTGGTGGGGGAAATTTGAAAGGGTCAGCAGAGTGGGGATATAGCTCGAAACATAGCAGAGGACTACATATTTTCTACATCTCCTGCTCTTCTCTTCTGACTGTACTTGCTGAGTTATGGCTGTTTTTCTTCCTTTCTAACCCTCTCCTCTGTTATTCTGGCGGAGAGCTAGAACTGGTGATCTCTGGCCTAAATTCTCTCTGCGAATGAAGGGATTTTGGCCAGACAGGGTGAGAGGAAGATTCACAGCTTTGGGTTCCTATAGAGACTTGTCTCAGCTCTTATCGTGCTCCCTGCTACCGAAGGGAAGGGAAGGGAAAGAGGGGGGGTTGCAGGACTAGGTAAGCTGCTTGTTTTTCATTGCTAGCTTCCTGGAGGATAAGCTACCTGCATCCAGTGCTCCTTTTCTTTTCAGTAAACAAAGAATATCAAGATGGCACATCCCTGTGTAAGGGATGGCTTGTACACACCCACTTAACAACACTGCTCACCATCTTGACAATGTTTAGCATTCTTCATCTTTTCCTGGGGTCTCTATCAAATATTTCTATGATCCCAGTGCCTCACTCTTTAGAACACATATCCTTATAGCATCCCTTAGGGATCACTATTTTATCTGTGAGGAATTGAGCACAGAGAAGATGTACCTAAGTTTCTGTAGGAATCCTTTGCCAAAGCTGAATCTTATCCCAGGTGTTTCGAATCCTATGCTTGTACCCATAATTGAAGTATCTTTTTCCATATTTGCGTTCCCCGTTCCTTAGAAGGGTTTCATTGCGACACACAGAATGGAACTGGGTCCTCAGCATTTATAAAGGGGTGAGTTTATAGCCAGTAGAGTCATATTGCTTTACCCCATGTAAGAATCTTGCCTCAGAAATTCTAAAAGTCATGCAAAAGACCAAACTGGACTGACAACAGCGTATCTTTCACTTTTGCTTTCTGTCATGTCAGAAGAACCACTTTTTCTTTTCTTTCTTAGTTTTCTGCCTTTTCTCTTGCAAGAGCATTAGGCAAGTTGCACTGAAGACAAAGATCATCCTATATCTCTTCCCTTCTCTGTGACTGTAACAGATCTTTGCTAAAACAACTGAAAAGCTTGCAAAGACTGATCATCTTCTTGATGTACCTTTCTTGTCTTCTCTTTCTATTTCTGCTGACTGGAGAATGAGCCTTGCGTGTTCAGGTTTATTTTCTGTTTCTGCACAGACCCGTCCATGTTCTTAGCCCAACACTTTGCTTGTGGGTTGTTGAGATACATGTTTAAAGAAACAACCTTGGATTGCTTTTCACTGAGAGTCAAAACTGTTGTCACATCATTGATGTCAAGTTTTTAAATCTGTTTGCCCCATTTTTTATAAAACTGAATTTTATAAATCTAGATTTTGCATCTGATCTAATTAACTGATGTCTCTGTAATGGACCTGCTAACTCTT